CCCCCCCCCCCCCCCCCCCCCAAAAAAACAGTCTAAACGTGTGCGCAAGTACAATCCTGACTTTCTTAACACTTTCAGTGTGTGGAATGTGGGCTAATGCTATCAAACGAAGCACTGAAGCCTTCAAAAATAAAGCGACACCTAGCGACGAAACATCCAACGCTCGTGGGAAAGCCTGTTGGGCTTCTTGTTGTGTATGCAGGTTTACATACACATGATAAATAAATGTCTTTGTGATCATCACATTGTATCATCTCATTTATTTGACAAGGGTTTTGCCTGTTCAACTCCGCGAGGATCCTCCTCGATCCCCTCCCCTTCCGTTCCGTTTTTACGGCTTGCTTGCGCAAACTACGTCACAAAACATGGCCGTGTTTGGTATCCCAGCATGCCCAAAACCCTCATCTTTGCAAAGAAATCATCGATTGTCTTTCATTTCTTATGGATTTTTCACAAAAGGAGCCCAAACACACACTGTCCAAAGTCGCCATAACAGCTGCAAGTCGGATCTTGCAGCATATCGACGGAAAAAGACATATTACAGACCCAACAATGTGCTAGCGGATGGTACCATGGAGCTAGTAGCTTCAGAAAACGCTAGTACTTAAAATACAAACCTTATCTTCCTCTTCTATAAGATGTCAACCAACGTATAACCTTGCTCATACTCGACCGTACCGCTCAGTCGCATTCATTATGCAGATTAAGTCAGCTGCTTACATACCACGTCTTCGACCATAAATATATATATATATAATTGCAAAGGCTAAAATAAAAGGAAAATAATATAATATCAAAATATAAAGGGAGAAACACATTTAGTGTGTCAGAATATTATTTGGTTACCATGTGTCCATTTGGGTATCCAAATATCCTTTTAGAGCTCCGCCTGGATCTCTTCATGGAAGAAACACTGTAGAATCGTCATACTTTGTCCAATCTTCTTCAAATTTGAGGCAGTTGTTCACTGATAGTGTAGTTACAGCCATATACTGTCATTTAGCTGTACAGATACAGCCACAGACAGTTATTTATACTGAAAGATACTTTTTTTTTAAACAAAAATCTTCAATTTCTACCGACTCCAAAGGCCCACTGCTCTGTTTCTATATGACCTACAGGTTTTATGACACTTTTGATGCATATAGTCACAGTGGTTCAGAAGCTACAGCCATTTTAATTTGGGTATGTCATTTTAGGCGGTTTTGCTCCAAAATAGGGGTGGAGTTGAACAGGTAACAATATAGTTATTGAATACAAATCAAACCAAGAGTGAGATCAATTAGTTAAACTAATAGTGTTAATGTTTGAATGGGACTTTGTACTTGAAAAGTTGGGCCCCGAGGTCAAAAAGGTTAAGAACCCCTGCTCTACGTTACACTCTTCTCTTGCTGTTCTTCTGAGAAACTTTAGTAATGTCCAAACTAAGCAACAATACCACAATAACCATGCGGTCGCATTTACCAACGGATTAGCTTGTTAGGCTAATGCTAATAACGGCCCTATCAACAGTTTTCTACCAAACAACGACTTAAAACATCTTACTAGCCTTACCTAACAAGCGTAACAGTTTACCTAAACCATGTGTGCCTTTAAAATCGAAATATCACCTTGAATACAGTTTAAACAAATGTTTTATTGAGGGTGCCTGTTCTCTAGTTACACTCTTCTCTTGCTGTTTTTCTGAGAAAATTTACAAGGAAGCGTGAATACCATGCACAGACAACCCCCCTAGTGGTGAGATGGTGACACCTGCTGGCCGTTTTAACTATAACACACATTACAATATAAAATTAGTTAGTCAAAAATCCATTTATCTCACACTCTCCCCCATTTGAACAAATGTCGTCTCGACATTTAACTACACTGGTAACATTTTGTGTTTGTTTTTACCCCTACATACATAGAGTGGTATTACAATGATTGGGCAACATGTTCTTTAACATAAAGGGTATGACATTTTTTCCTTTGGCACCATAACCACCGTGCACTGTGATCATGACTGCTCCTGACTTTGTCACTTCACATACCCATTACCCCCTATTTCACATTACTACCATTCTATTAGTCCTTGTACCTGGGTGGGTTTCTCTCTCTGACAGTCCTCATAGTAGTGTCAGATATCAATCGTGGACACACTGTCTGCATCTAAGCCTCTGTTCCCAGACAGGCAGCAGCAGGAGCAATGCGTAAAGGAGGATTTTATTTGACCCCTTGTGTTCCACTGAGGCCTCCAGATTACTTTATGTTCTCTGCATCAGAATCAGCATCCGTTGTGGATCACTTCTCAAAGGTCTGGAACAAAACGGCCGGCTCACCTCGGTGGTGTGCTCCAGGTATCAGGTGGTGTTTGATTTGTTCATAGCATTCAGGATTAAGAAAACTGCCAGATTGACCTCAGTTTTTTCGGTATTCGCTCAAAGATTTAAATTAATATTGTCAAGCATCAATCAGCTGTGTGAGCAAAGTGGTTAAGGTGTTGGATTTGAAATCCAATGGGGTATCCCCATGTAGGTTCAAATCCTACTCACAGTGTTGATGTTTGATTAACAAGGCCAATAGTGCCCACTTTAAGTAGATCTCCATACCTGTTGTGGAAACACACGTTGCCGTCACCGATGATATAAATAACCAGCTCTCGTGGTGTGATTTATCAAATAAAGGGCGATGACACTTCCAATTAATTAAGTAATCTTAGTCAGTGCAACACCTGTGCAGCTAAATGTGCATTATTTTAAATTTGTCCAAAGATAATTATAATAATATTCTAAAAACTGGATATCGACTCAAAGCTCCTGAACATCCCTGAAACTGTGCAATGTAACTGTTGTCAACTGTTGTAAACTACATGTCAACAGAGGCAGCTAAGACATACATGCTTTCTATGGTTGTTTCCCTTATCACTTACTGTTTAACAACCTGGTCACAGGCTAGCACCACTACTCTGAAACCACTACAGTCATTGTATAAACGAACACTCAAAATCCTTGATAAAAAAATCTGTTCTTTCTCATCATTGCCCTATACTAAAAAAATATAACTTGTATAGTTGGGAGAACATGATTAAATATGTGAATGTCTGTCTCGTGTACAAGATTATACATGGCTTGACCTCTCCTCCACTCAAACAATTTGTTATCATCAGAACAACTGGATATCGGCTCACAAGAGGAGCAGCAAGAGGGGATTGCATTATCCCACTCAGGAAAAGTGCTTTCAGTCAGTCTGCATTTTCAGTACAAGGTGCACTACAATGGAACTCCATCCCAGTGACCATTAGAGAGCTACAAACATACAGTTCATTTAAATCTCAATTAAAGAAATGGTTAGTTAGTACCCAGCTCTGTCAGCACTAGAATGTAACTGCACCTCTGTCTGTGTTGAACTTCCCTCGATCTGTCTGTTGTCACCTGTCTGTCTTTCTTGAAATTGCCTGTCGACCCTCATCTACCTGCATGCATGTCTTTTATTGTTGTTAGCTGTGTCTGACTGATTTATGTATTTCACATACTCTGCATGCTGTTATGTTTTGTGCCTCTGACATGGATGTTTTTTAGTGTCTAAACAACTAGAGCATAATATTGTCTTTAGTCCATGTTTCTATTTTAACATTGTCATCCCTCATTTTATTTGCGGTGTGTGTTGACTTTGAGAGCCTCTGTGTTGCATGTCTTGTTTGTACTTGACAATGTATAACAGTTTTATTCTCACTTTTTTTCATTGTTTGTGCACCCATTGTAAAGTGTCAAAATTGTACAACCTTTTAACTTTAATCTTATCTTCTGTTTTTAAGTTTATTTTGTAACATCTGCCTCTTGGGACTACAGATGAAAAATAGCCTTTTGGCTAATTAACTCTGGCACATTTGCAGAAATGATTTTATTAATGTGCACTGTCCCGTATCAAATAAACCAATAAATACAACTGTTCATGATGATGAAGATTAGATTAGAATAAAAACAATAAATAACATATTTTATTAGCTGAGTAGCCTCTGATGCAAACTGAAATATTTGCGTTGTATCATCTCGTCACAGCTGCGTTGACATGTCGCGAGAACTGACAAAGTACTTCAGCATTAAGCAGGTGAGCGCTAGTTCAGTACGCGACCAGGCGGTGTGAGCAACAGTTTTCTCAAATGAAGCCGCACTTTGTTGGGTGAGTGGTGTAATTTCTTGAACACCCCTTTCAACCAATAAAGTCTACAAAGAAGGTTACATTTCAGACATTAACTCATTTCTCCTCCTATCAAGAAACATGCCGACGAACAACAACCAGGTGAGTACAATCGAGGTAGATTAACCCTCGTTACCTGTATCCACTCGGCATCAACACCTGACAACAAGTCGTTCTCGTTTTAGTACAGAGGGAGTTCTTAAAAATGTATTCTGTTTAAATGTGGTGTTGAATCGTTTCTTACAGGACAGCTAGAGGTTCTTATGTTTCAATTAGATGTCCCCATCTTAATAGGAACGAGGGCTTCCATTTTGATGCTCAATTTGTCAATTAAATCATTTACGTCACTGTAAACCCCTGAGGACTGCATGTGGACTGTGTGTGCTGTTTTCTTTTCTTGCAGAAGGTGCAGAGTGCAGCTGCCAGACTGGCCAAGCTGCCCGTGGTTCGCTCGGCTTGCACCACGCTTTCAGTCTTGTACATTAACACTAAATGCAGCCACCCGAGTCTGAGGTCTGTGTGTGAAGTGCTGGAGAGCAGCGTGACAGCCGTAGTTTCTCCTGTGGTTGTTAAGCTGGAGCCTCAGAGTAAGTGGGCTACTGTGGGCCAACAATACTTGTTTGGACTGCCTGCTTGTGACTGTGCTTGTGATTGAAGGAAACTGTCAGGGAATTTACAATAAGGTTGCAACTAACGATTATTTTTTTTTACCGTTGATCAATCTGTCAATTAAATAATTATAAAATGTCAAATTTGCGAAAGACACCAACAGAAGTTCCCAGAGACTAAGCTGATGTCCAAGTTGCTTGTTTTGTTCAGCTCAGAATCCAAAGATATTTAATTTAGACATTCTATGTTGAATAACTTTGGATTGGATTATAAATTGGAATCATACAAAAGCACATCAAATTCTCCCATTTGAGAAGTTTGAACCAGAAAATATTTGGAAACTTTCCTTTAAACGAGTACTTCATCGTCAAAATTGTTGATTACTTTCTGTCGATTGACTGTTTCAATTGAGTCCGTGTTTCAGGTTTACGTAAAAGGTTTATTGGGGATCTATCACAGGACAAGCTTTCCAAAAACTATTAATAAAATCTAAACTAATAATAAATTAACAGCATGTGTACGTAATGGAATAATGTATATAGTAGGAAATACATTTTTTCGGTTGCTGTGTGGAGAAAAAAGATGATGCAGATATTATTTGATTTATTGACTTCACTGTCTTGAATATTTCTAGTTTCCATTGTAAATGACGTTGCATGTAGAAGTCTTGACTGGCTGGAGAGTGCATTCCCAGTAATTCACACACCAACGGAGCAGGTCATTTTCTTTCCCTTCTTCCAAATCTCAATGATGCCCCCCCACACACTCCTCAAAAAGGCACAAGAAACTACAACAGTCTTTTCCTGGTTTTGCCCGTTTCACCCAGATCGTGGCCACTGCCAAGAACAAGATGCATGAAATCCAGGATGTGGTGAGCATCGCAGCTTACGGTACTATGGACCGTGTGGAGCACACGGTCGCATGGGTGATGGGCGGCATACAGCTGGCTGATGACCAGGCTGGCCAGTCACTTGTGGAGAGAGCCATCGCTGTGGCCAGTGTGGGGCTGGACTCCGCTCTGATCGCCTCCGAGGCTCTGATGGACCGAGGGCTTCCTGCCACCGAGGAAGATAAAGGTATACTGATAGCGTCACGTATGAGTTACTGATGTGAAACAGCTGGAAGTCACATTTAGAATTTACCCATACTTTATCTTCTTGATGACTTTCTAGACGAAGAAGCACATTTGGTCCAGGGTTTTGAGGCGGCCACACTCGGGAGACGATACCCTGTGCGACTGGTTTCACTCGCCGCCAAGCTGTGTAGGAGGATGTACCACATGGCCGGCTCCAAGATGCAGTCTGTTCAGGTGTGCTGTGAGTACAGTGTAAAAGGAATGGTTTCACAATCTGGAAAATATGCATATTTGCTTTCTTGTCAAGAGTTGGATGAGGATTAATCCTTATTTAATATCTATTAAATATGAAGCTACCGACGGTTAGAGTAAAGGTTGGAAACTATCATAATTTCTGACCAAAACCAAAGAGTTGGAACCAATAAATTGTGGATTTATGGTGAATTCTGTGCAGTACTTGACTTTTGGGTGAGTTTATTGAACTTTTATCAAACTCTGCAAAAACCGCAAATGAGCGCATTTTCCAAAATGTCACACTATTCTTTTAACAGGAGGCTGCGCATGCATTCCAAAAGATATTAACTTATTAATGCATAAATATTTATGACATGGCTGTTAAGGTTTTTTTCTTAAGGCAATTTAACTTTTACAGACGTTCAAGGTGACAGTAATTAAATAAAGGAAGTTGACTTTTTTTTTTTTTCAATACTTGCAACTCAATTCGGCTGCTTTTGTTTTGAATCAGTTGGCCATACGTCTCTTTCACAGCAGGAGCAGCACAGGTGTTATTAATAACCTTATTGGCTCTGTTTCAGTGAGCCAACGTGCATGATACAGGACCCTGAAATCAAAGCAGCTAAATGAAATTTAGGTATCATTACTTTAATTTACACCTGTGCTTTTCCTACGTCTTCATTGAAAAAGGCCTGTTGCACCCACTGTCATTTTAGCTTGCATGGTTAAATAAGTACCTTTTCTTCCCAACAGGTCAGGGTGAAATTGTCCAGGTCTATAGGTCGGGTTCAGGACCTTCAGACCAGCTGGCTGACCTTATCCTGGAGTGCCCAGGTGCTGCCTCAGTTCTTGCAGCATCAGCTCGTGTCTGTGTGCTTCTTCATTTCCCAGATGTACAACCTCAGCTGCCCTAAACCCCACCGCCACAGGTTTTATCAGGATCGAAGGTTCCTCAATGCTGCAGAGAGCTGCTCGACTCAGAAGGCCGTGGTCCAGGTTCACCCACAAGCCAAGTGTTCCTACATGAGGCGGGTAACCAAGACGCCTGTGTTTGAAAATGGGTGTGATGTTAAAAGATGTGATCTGTGATTTATAATGCAACTATTTGGGTATGTGTGCTAAATTCGGTTGCTCCCAGACAGGTGCAACCACTTATTAAAGTTGAACATTGAAGAAACTTGTTCCCTCTTGTTCTTTTAAGACTAGCGGACTAGTTCTGGCAGACAAGGTGTCCTGTAACCAGTACATATGGACATATCGCATGCAGAACTTAGCATGGGCAGTTTATCATGTAGTTACTTTAAAACACCTCCCATGTTAAGTAAATATGGGAGGTATTATTTTGCTGCTTGAAACATGTTTTTGATGGCTAGAGCTCTTTAAATCATTTAAACCGTGAACTATTAAAATGGCACTTGTTTCTGAAAAGACAAATATTGAAATGGCAACCAAAAGCTAAATATTTTATTTACCGAACAGTATAGCATATTCAGTGATTTCTCAATTTTGGTTTTAATTGCCTTCCATAATTCAACTGGCAAACCTGCAATTAGACATTTTTAATACTCCATCAGGGGTATTCAAGTAAAACTCAAAGGTCCAGATTGAGAATATCCTCGGGCAAAGGTCTATTTGAACATTACAATAATTAACTTGCGCTATTTAGTGCCATATTCAAGAAGCCGAGTAGTAACGTCTGTAGTCAACTGTCAAATCAAATAAAGTACACCAATTATATTTTAACTATTTTCAAATTTAACTGGATGGATTATAAATGAATCTCATTTCAAGAAAAATAAAGGCTGGATTAAAAAATAACTGATTAAACAGCTTTCGAAAAAAGTGCATCTTAAAACTAAGTACTTAGTTTTAGAAACTTTTCACTGAATTGTCCTGCAGCTTTAAATTCAGTCCATTCAGATGTGAAGCAATGCCAATCAAAAAAGCCAAATATTTTTCTCATCCAACAAGATTAAGTTTGTTCGCATGGACTATCTGGTTATTAAACCACTTGTTTCAGCTCTTTTCCTCTGGTAATATTGTGAAGTGAATTCATGAGTTAGGATTCTGATCATATTGGGCTCCTAGGTTTATTTTCTGTCTTCATTTCAGATGTGAGATGGTAAGTATGCTCAGAATTGTGCTTTGTCTGGTAGTGTCTTCATATTACCGCTTTTAATAATCGTCACGGTCTCTGAACATTTTTAAAACCGCTCTGAACGGTTTTAAACTGTCCGTGGGAAGAATTAACCTATACGTGTCCATTATTGGTTGAAGACTCTGGTCTCTGACCACTTTTCTCTCTTTGGAAAACATGTGAAATAACTTATCTGACTCACATTATTCTCCTATTCGTTCTCGTGTGTGTACATCTCACTCGAATCAGGAAACTTGTCAGAATACCCATATTTGATTGGCTGAGCTGCATCACGTGATGCGATTTGCACCACTGAACAAGTGCCGTAAAGGCTGAAAAATCTGTGGCAGTTAAATTGGAAGCGCTCCATCAAAATGTAATAATTATCTATCGGTTTTAGGGCCTTGGTCTGGATACAACGGCGTCTGGGTCCGGATCGCAGTCCGCCTATTAGGGACCCCTGCTCTATATCAAGGTACTGAAGACATCACACAGGCTTATTTTTCAGCAAAACATGACTTTATTTGACTTTGTGATTTCACTTTTGGCTGGACTCTGACTTGGATGTGGATGCTCTCAGAGAAGAAAGGCGACGCCTCTTAGCGATCTGTTCCTGGCGCTTCTCCTTGGCCTCCTGTTAGCAGGAACATGTGTGAGTACAATGTTTCAAGACATCCAAAAAGCAGCAAATTGCAAACAAGATAATTCCCCCAAAACACAGTAAAGTCAAATGGGCTTGTTAGAAATTATCCAGCTGGCAAACACAGGTACACTAACAAATGTTGTGCATTGTCCTTATAAGTGTTTTAGGTTTAAACCACAACCATCAAAATGTCCCAACTTTAAGACCCGATCCCGCCATAATAGTAATACAAGTAAAATTGAAGATGTCAAGACATAGGGAGAAGGAAAAAGACTAAACATTACCTTCATCCTCTTAGCCAGCAGCTTGGCGTACTCAGACGCCTCCTCCTTGTTCTTCAGGGTGCGCTGTCTCTTGAGGGAGATGCGGCGGCGCTTGTGCTGCAGCACACGGGGCGTCACCAGTCTCTGGATCCTGGGAGCCTTAGTTCTGGGCTTCTTGCCTACCAAAAGAGAAGGGATCATTTAATATTGACCACGGTGGTAAAGAGTGTTGGGCGATGGTGAACTGGCCACCCTCACTCCCAACAGCTGAAGTGATTTTATAGATGCAGGTGAGGTGCGAAGATCTAACTGACAAGAATTGCGCTCATCAGCATTTGTTCATTTTTGCAAGCTATTGTGGGTGAAACAATTCTGAAACTGGGACCGAAACTAATTTCCACCATCCTGTGTCGCCGCAATTTTGTAGAGAAAGCTTAGCAAGACACTTACAAGTACAAAATTCGCAAGAATGATTAAGTTACATTGTTTTTAAAGTCTTATCTGGCAAAGAAACGCATCATCGGCCTCGATAACTTTCTTGCTGTTCAGCCATACAGGATTCAAAAGACTGAATACTGACAAGTGGAAGAATGAAGTTTGTATAGATCTCACACTGTAAAAAGGATTAGGCTGAACATGTACAGTGGTCCTTAAAATCTGTAGTATTGAGTTTCACAATATATTTAACACGTAGGCTTGATACATGACAAAAATTATAATTATAATTTTTGACAATTATAATTGTCAAAAATGTAACTGACAGCATACCCACCACTGATCAACTGTATTTCAAATTTCCAGACAAAGCTTCAATACAAACACCTGCAATGTTACCCTGAAAACCAAGTTGTTTAACATTCCCACTGTGCTTTCATAGTGGAAGTATTTCAAATTCACATTTCAGTCATCCTTGCATATTACAATAAGCTCAATTGATTTCAAGCTTCAAGTGAAGCCAAATCCATAAAAAGCTACATTCAGTGATCCAACAGCACTTGTCGACTTAAGTGAAAACTCTCCCGTCTTACCTTCTTTGGAGAGAGGTCTCCTCACAACATACTGCCTCACATCATCCTCCTTAGCCAGGTTGAAGAGCTTGCGGATCTTGCTAGCCCTCTTGGGACCCAGACGGCGAGGGACGGTGCTGTCGGTCAGGCCGGGAATGTCCTTCTCACCTGAGGTTAACAAAGGATCAACTTGATTAATGTCAAGTTCACTTACAAATTGCACTTCCTACAGCTTAAGTACTTGCAGGAGTTTCAACAATCAATGGAAACAAATTAAGACTTTGTGGACAGTTTCTCATCAGTGTGACAGTGAAACTACCCCAATATCAAAGACAAACACACTGCTGCATTTAGTAGAGCATCAGCTTTAGTGTCATTCTGACTATAGTGTACATGAGACGCAATGAGAGAGCATTACAGTTCAACCGTCCATGGATCCTGGACCTGGTTGTATCTGGTAAGCAGCTCCACAGTCACTCTAGCAACACGCTGTCCCCCCTTAATGACTATAGACCAATCAAAAAGGGTCTACTGGTGTGCCATAAACATAATTTACAAGCGATATTAACATACATTTCAAAACAAGCCTGTGCTTATTTTGCTGTATCATTTCCACGCTTGTATTACCTTTCTTGACGATGACCAAGTTGAGAACGCTGAGGTTGGCGTCAACGATGCAACCACGGACAGACTTGCGCTTGCGTTCGCCAGTCCTGCGGGGACGGTAGCAGGAGTGGCCCTTGCTGAGCAGCAGGCGCACACGACCGTGGGTCAGCACACCCTGCTTCATGGGGAAGCCCTGCCTGTCGTTGCCTCCGCTGATGCGCACCACATAGCCCTGCAGAAGTAGAGAAAACAAGCCGTTACGGCTCCGCTCTTCCATTTAGGGTTACTGAGTTAACTCGTAGTTGCTTCGAGAATGCGAGGGAATTGAACTAGTGACGCCGTTTCAATCAGCCATGGATATACGGCTATAATAAGAGCAGCAGCATTAGAATCTTTCTGATGATGGTGTACGCAAGACACAATGAGAGAGCAATACCAGTCAACCATCTACTGATCCTGGACCTGGTCGTATCTGGTAAGCGGCTCCACAGTTACTCTTGCAACACGCTGTCCCCCCTTAATAACTATAGATCAGTCAGAAAGGGTCTACTGGTGTGCCACATCAGGTTTAATAGATCTATACATCTTTCCACCAAGTTAAACCAACACATACACTCAGCAACATGTTATACAGAGTACTTACAACATTATGAGGTCAAACAACACTTTACCTTCCACTCATCTCCCAGAGGGTCAGCGGGCACCTCGGTGGCCATACGCTTCTCATAGAAAGTTCTCAGCTTGCGCTCATCATCAACTTCAATCAGCTTCTGGCAGCCAGTAGCGGGGAACGAGATGTTCAGCTGAAAGAGAAGGAGAGAGTTGCAATGTAGTTGTTACCACATGCACTTTGGTTCCTCATGGGTCACGACAGGTTACTAAGAGTCCTAATGCTGATAGGTTTAGCAGGTAAATGAGACAACTGAAGTTACTGGTGGGAACCTGACACCGGGAAAAAACACCCTGCAGTCACATTAACGACAGCGCATCTGAGCTAAAGTTCAGAAGGAGACGCCGTGGCTCGGAGGCCTGTTAGCTTCTATGTCAACTAGCTAATGTTAGCATTCTCGACAATGCTAACTAACACAAACAGTTTAACGGATAACGTTGTAAACTGACAACTCGGGTAACACTGCTGATTTAGGTAACGTAGGCAGCAAAAGTCGGAAAACTTTTTACTGCAGGGAACTTGAATAGGCTGCACATTTCGCTCAGTGTGCCGACATGTTTCTACAGCTCCCCTTGCCGACAGGATCGTCAGCGCTGACTCTCATCGTAATCAAACATCATCCGAAGAGTTAGAGCCGCGATAACTACATTAAACTGCTCCGCTTTAAAGTTCAGAAACATGGCATCAACCACAGTGAAGTATTTACAGGAAAATAGCTTTTACGCAGAAATTTAGAGTTAGGAAAGCAATGTACCTTCATTTTGCTAAACCGGCCCTACAACGGTCCGCCACGGAAAAGAGGCAGGATATCCGCTTCGTGGTCTCACATAGGCCTGAAATGTTCTCGCGATAACTGAACCGCTGTAGTTTTCCAATTGGCCTCAAGCTGAAGGTTAAGAAAATAATTTCACACACAAAAATACATAATAAAACGGTAATGCCGACCTACACAACTGCATTAAACTGATTATATGAATAGAGCATATAGGTAATTATCTGTTAATTTATTCATCTTGATTATTTAAAATGTATGTTTCATGTAAAAGCAACCACATACCAAGAGTGGTGTACACATAATTGGTAGCCTAGCTCAAAATTCGTAAGGCCTATCTAATTTTTTATAAACTGTAAATATATGAGACAAAATATGTGAAGGTTAAGAAACGTAAAAATGTTTTCCCACAACTCACAGCAAGATGAACAAATAACATCAACTAATCAATCGTATCAATTAATGGTTATGACCATGTAAGTATATTATTTAAATATTATATTAATATTATGTTATAGAGTCACTGAATTAATGGTTATGACCATGTAAGTATATTATTTAAATATTATATTAATATTATGTTATAGAGTCACTGAGCATGCCTCGGCCAGAGGGAGCCAGAAAGTAGATAAGGAGTTGTAAATGTCCTAACTAAGACATTATAAGTAATGCAGTTTGGTTAATTTAGCACCTGGATGAAATAACTGTCTCCAAGTTCGTCGATATGCAGCAGTTAATAATACAGACTTGTTTTGCACTTCAACAATATTATCGATCATGGACTATAGTGGCTCTGATTCATACCAGTAAGACATGCCAGTGAGTCAGCATGCCCACAATACCAGACAACAAATGTGACATATCAAAGTAAAAAAAGCACATCTGAAAATGTAAAGTTGCTTGAAATCTATTTAGACCGGCTGCTTCCGGACTCAATGCCGCTGTGTTGTCACGTGTCACTGAACAAGGAAACAGATAGGGGTGAACTCTCTTGCAGCGCTTGAACACTCTTTGGCCACAGCTGTCAAATGCACAGTGCGGAGTGTCACGACAAGCTTTGTGGAAGGACAGCGGCTTAAAAATGCAGCTCAGCGACGATTTCTGTAGTTTACCACATCGTCGAGTCAGGTCTCAAAACGTTGAAATCTATCGGTGAACAACGGAGCTGAGAAATTGAGACAGTTTCCTCAAGTGTGCTGTTTTGTTTTTTTTGGTCCATTCCTGTCGACTGTTGTCTGCTCTGTCCATCCGGCAGGACTAGTTCAGACATGAGTAACGTCAATCTCATTTTTTGGGACCAGTTGCAGGCTGGCAGCTCCGATGTGGACTGGTGTGAAGGCAATTACCTAATTTACCCCAGCATTGCTGAATTTTACAACACGGTCGGTTCTAACGTTAGCTTAACGATGTGTGATGTTTGTTTTCTTGCATAATACAGTTCTATATAAGTTACAGCTAACTAACTCTAGTGCACAGCTTGTCTGTCGTTTTGTTTTTCCTTGTATTGCACTGCTGTCTTTCAATATGATCCTCTTTTTTTAGCTTCAGCATCACGTTGTTTACTGTTAGCATCAGGTTTTAAATGTTCCTTTTCTCATTCCCACTGGCTGTCAAGTTTGTTAAAGGCCAGCGAGGCTCGCGCACTCATCAACTTTTGACAAGCATGTTGTCATTGACACGATCAGTAGTCGACTGTGATTTTACTTTTGCTCATAGCTTTTTTATTTTCCCCTTTTGTTTATCATTTCAGATCAGCAACATTTTGTTTTTTGTTTTGCCGCCCATATTAATGTGCTTGTTCCGCCAATATGCAACACATTTCAACAGTGGGATTTACCTCATATGGAGTCTACTAGTTGTGGTCGGTAAGTTGTCTGAGCTAACATTAATGTCTACACTCTGTGTGATGATGATAACCTAACCTTTCATGTCTTTCATGACCTGCTTTGTGGGAGACCTTCATCGCCTTCATCACGCTTAAACTTCCCTCAGCTAACAAACCATACAACTCTTCCTTTATTTATACATTTTGTAAAGGGCCAGGCAAGTATTTCATTTACTTTATAAATTTTTTCTTCTGTAGGTAATGCTTAAAGTAACAGTTAACTCCTAAATACAGAAATACCTCTTGCCTGTAGTTCTTATTTATCAATTTGGATTGTTCTGGGTTACACTCAGACTTGTGGTGCTCAAAGTGCCCCAAAAAAAAAAAAAAAAAAAAAATACATTTGAAATGTCTGAGTACATAATCCACAGACCTGGTTGTGAGCAGTTTCATTCAGGAACTCTGGTGGAAAGAACATAGTTCCTCTCAACAAGGTCTAACACGTCTCCAAAACTAGGCTACTCACACCAAAGCAATCTAGATTGCTAAATATTTTTTTGATTTTTGAGTATGAAATTACACTGCTTCTTAAACAATTAGCCAATTAATTAATTTAACAGAAAATTAACAGTTTTGACAATTAATAAATTAGTTGTTTTATAAGCAAAAAGTCAGTGGTTCCGGCTCTTTTATTATGAATATTTGCTGTTTTTTCTCGTCTTCTATTAGTAAGCTGAATATTTTTGGCGGTTTAGAAAGCTAGTTGGACTGAACAAGACATTTGAAGATGTTTCAATGGACTGTATTTGGAAATTACCACCGGCATTTTTACTATTTTCTTACATTTTATAGACAAAATGATTGATCAAGAAAGAAAATCAACAAATAAACCAATAATGAAAATGATCCGAATATTAAACTGCTCGATAAACAGAATATTTGGGTGTTTGGACTGTTAGTCAGACAAAATACACAAACATTATGAGTACATATACAAAGTACATTAAACATTGTGCAACATGTATGAGTTGTATGTAGGCGCCCACATTATTAAACAGCACTGTTCGTATGCAGGTTTCCTCAGCCGTGGCCTCTGTCTCTGTACACGTTTCTAGCTTCAGGTCGTCCTGAATTATTTTACCCTCTAAGACAAACACTTTACTATGACTAGGCTTATTCATTGGTGGGATGAATAAGCTTACTGCCTCAATTTCCTTTGACACAGTATTTGAGTCCTAAATGGTGCCACTGTCTGTACATAACAGCACAGTTAAGAGATTACACTGCCCAGTTCCCTTACAGCTGCTATGAAAACACTCTGGTTGCACTGTCAGCAAAAAACAACAACCTGACAGACCTCCCAATGTTCCTGAGATGTGACTTCACTGGCTGATAACTGAGGAGCTGTTGAATACGATTTGCATAACTGAACGTTAACTATCGGCCATGTATGCTCAGATTGTGTAACTTTTGTGTTAATCTTTTCTTTTCCTATCGGAGTAGTCCCGTGTCTCCTATCAAACCCTGTCCAACATCTGTCTTCCAAACCAGTGATCAAATTATATCCAGTTTGGTTTTTTTCAGTGGGCTAGTAGCTCTGACTGTATCCATTGTTCGGAATCTGGAGGCTGTTAAAAGTTACACAGCAGAGAAGGCAGTTACATGGTTTCATCTCTACAGCTGTCTCTGTAGTAAAAAAACAACCCTATAGGTTCTAGTATGAAAACAACGTTCAGCTGCTTTTCTCTGGTTTTGGCCTCAGCTGTGTTTGGTAGGAGTCGAACATGTAGTTTAGGGTTGACTGCATTGCCTGCTACTAGGACATATACAGTATTGGATTGTTTTCATTATTGGTTAAGCTTCTGATTTTATTTCTTGATTGATTGTTTTTGATCTTGATTTGTATGTGCTAATGAGTGCTTTTATGTCTCATCCAAAGGAGTAACTGTTGCTTCATTTTTGTTAATAAAATGGAAGAAATAAGTGAAAATGTGGGTGATAATTTCCAAATCCAGTCCAATGTGACGACTTCAAATGTCTCGTTTTGTCCAACTAACTCAAAACTCCAAAAAAATATTCAGTTTACTACAATAGAAGGTAGAAGAAACCTAAACCGTTCCATTTGATCATTGAAATAATTTTCTCGCGAGACCAACTAATGAATTAATCACATAAATGTTTCAGCTCTCTGTACGAGTACACCGACGGGTTGTCATGATTAGTAACTTCTGACTGACAGCAGTGCTCCCTTTTTGGATAAGAAGTTCGTGGAACTGTAGGAATCTCCTGTTGTGAAAACAGATTATTCTGATAATAGGTCTGTTGGGCCGTGATAACAAAGGGGCTGATCCATCCTTCCACAGAGTTTCAAAACATCCAGTAACATTAACGCTGGTTTACAAGTTGCTTCTTCGAGTTAACTTGTTTATTCCAGTGTTCAGTCACTTGTCTGCCTAAAGCATTTAATGTCACTATAATTATTTTCTATTTAAAGTAATCTCATTTAGAGGTGACATTTTGCAACTTTGTATCAGTTTTTTAAATACTTTTTTGATAGATGGAAATGGGAACAATTCAGCTGTACAAAAGAAATCTCCTGAAACAAACTGTTTAAGTCTTAACTTGTGCATCGCTTTGACTTTCCTTTCTTTTCGACATAATGTCAAATGTTTTTTTTTTTTTTTAAGAGACACAATCTCATCAATCTTCAGACGACGTCTCATTTGTGTGTTTGCGTGTCCATCTTCTTTCAGGTATTGGATCGACATATTTTCACGCCACGCTCAGCTTTCTCGGCCAGATGCTGGACGAGTTGGCCATCTTGTGGGTGCTCATGTGTGCCATTGCCATGTGGTTTCCCAAGAGATACCTACCCAGGATGTTCAGGAGGGATCGGTAGGTTGGCTAGTGTAACTGTGTGTACACACACATGACGGTGTCTGATAGGGTATTCGTTGTGTTACATACACAACAACAACAAAAAAGAGATCACAGTTGTTTCCAATTAGACTTTGTGTTCACATTAAATCAGTTTCACAACGAGGCAAAGGTCACGTTCAGCTCACATTTCGGGTAGACCTACAGCAGTTTGAGCAGTGGCATGGTGTGTCGTCTCTGCTATGACTCCCAGTTTAATAATAGGCCTGTCCGAGATAGCTGACGCCAGTAAAAGCTGCATCACATGTCTTTACTTCTCTTTCCATTGTCACAGAGCCATCATGGCTGCTCATTCCCTTCAGATCCCTCTTGGAGCTGAGTGATTCTTGTTTACCGAGTGTTAGTGAGTCACGGTGCTTTCTGGGAAGAGCTCCCTCTCTGAATTGCACAATGCTGTTCATAGAGTAAAGTTGCTGCAATTTTTTGTTTGTTGTTTTGCTTTTTCAATATAGCTCAAGGTTCAAAGTGGTCATCGGCATCTTGTCGGGGATCACCACTGGGCTGGCCTTCGTGAAACCTGTCGTCAACTCATTGTCACTCATGACTCTGGGCATCCCCTGCACCGTACTCCTCATTACTGAGCTTAAAAGGTTAGTAAAAGCCTCATACAATAAATCGGATAACTCTGATGTTGAGTTCTTTGTGGTTCATGGACACGTGATTGGTTGTGGTTCAGCCATGATTATACTTTAGAGAGAGTGGAGCATTGTCCGATAGTTCCAGAAGTCTGCAGCGCTAATGGAGAAAGCTGACCGGTTCTTGTATACCGTCTATGGCTGTACGAGAAACTTGCCTCTGGTACAGCATATGCTCTTGTTTGCCTGATGTCGACTGAACACAGTGAAACGAACTCTGTCAGTGGGGAAGGAGCAAGAATGTGGGTCATTTTGTACACGAAGCAGGAAGTTATAGGAGGCGGAGGAGGCAGACAAAATTATACGAGGTCAAAATGTTGTACTTTGTAATTATGTGACCAAACAGAGACGGAGCGCAATTGAGTCCAGCCCGGAAGGGAAAACAATGTCTCACTCTTCATTGACTTTTATATCACATGAAAGGGCCTCCTTTTCACTTTTGTGTGTTAGCAAACAACCAAAAAATACCTTCGCGGTGTGGTGAACAAGAGTGTAAAGAACCCAGAACTACGTTGCCGAACGGAAAAACTGAGGAAACATCAGCGGGAAGAATGGGGAAACGGTGGGATCTTGACTCTCAGTACGTCTGTTATGTTTGCACCAATTTCCTTTTCCTAAATGTCACTTTTAGGCTGAATATATTTCTGTAAGTTACACTGACGGTAAACAACTTGTGTTATGGTTGAATGTGGATACATCAGAAAGATATGCAGTATTATGTTTTCAAGTGCTTGAGCTTACTGCAGTAAGTTGGCTTGCTAACATTAGCTTCCCAACTTGTCCCATCATTATATTAATAAACGTATATAATATGGAGAGTATTCGTTAACTGCACCCCTGGTAGACAGGGTGCTTAAATCATATCTCACATGCTGAAATTGTATGTTTTTATCTAGTTACAGGCATCTTTTGCCTTTCAGCCCTCGGTTGTAAATTGTTCAGCTGACTGCTCGAAGTGGGGTTGGTTTTCAGAGTATGAAGTGTTGTGCTCTGTCTATGTTTTGAGCGTTCTTATGTATATAATGTTTGTTTTTTTCCTAGCTTGGACCAAGTGGTAATACAATATGACAGGTGTGGGAAAATCATAGCGTGCATGTATAACTTAGCACCATCCACAGGATATCTTCCTCACTCACGACTCAACTTAATTAGGTTGAATAAATAAATGACCACTTGCTCTAACTAAGCTAAGTTTGAACTTTAGAGTACCACAGCAGCAGATATCGGTGACCATGTCGGTGTTTTTAAGTTGTCTAGTGAAATCAGCTGCATTAATGTAAAGTAGTTCAGTGGATGAAAGGGAAACGGTCTCAAGATGTAGTTTCTTTAGTCTGCTAACATGTCACCTTTGGCTTTTTGTACTGACATTGTCTAATGGCATGTTGTTGGGACATTATGATGTGAAAGAATGTCCCTGAAAATGCAAAACAAGCCACTCATGCCCTTTTGCGTGTGTTTGTATTGCTTTTCTCCGTCACAGCAATGTGCAGTTGCTCTATTGTTTCCATTTCCTACATCCCTTTCTCGCCACCGTCACTCTTGTAACCCTAAGTCATCCACTGTTCAACCTGTTGGTTGTTCCTGACATTACTGCAAGTGCCAGTCATCTGTTGAGGTCGCTTGCCTTTGTTCTGCTAAGTGGGAGAGAATTCCTGTGGCCGTGGCTGATGGACTTCTGCCCTCAGAAACAACCGATAGTTTTGTAGTTGTTTGCTTGTTTTACAGTACGACTGCTGGCCTCTATTCAAGTCACTTCCAGTTGGACAAGAACAACGTGTCCAGTGTATAGGACATCCTCTTCAAATATTATATTAGTGCTGAAGCAATAACACCAGCTGTGCAATAATTGCTGAGTTATTCATAAAGGATAGTACAAAACAAACAAAAGGGACTTTGTATGAAAGGATAGTTTTGGCTTGTGAGAGCTAAGTTCATTCGCACATTGCCAAGATAACGGGTGTGTGGAATGATACCAGGTATTTAGTATTTTTGATTGAAACAACAGATGTAGTTCGTAAATTAAATGTTAAAGAAGCACGTGTTGAAAAAGCCATAGCCCCAAAGTTCAAACAAATAAGAATTAAAAAAGACTAATTATTAAATATACATATGTGCAGATAAAAACGATGCACCATCGCTTTAAATACCGTCAATTTAATCTGCCCAGGTTTTAAAAAGTAGATTTTTCTCATATTTTTTTCAGCACGTAAAGGATGATTCTGGTTTATGCATCTGGCGTCTTATTTTTGTAGTTTTGTCATCGCTTCCTTTCTGTAAAAACATCACTCTTACCCATCAAGTTGTTGCTGATGTCTTAAAAAATAAGTCAAGAAAACAGAAGTGGTGTCTAATCACTTCTGTTTTCTTGACTTTTTTTTATCATCATTTTGAACATATTTGGAAATAAGACTAAATTTGTACAAAAAACATGTTTGACTTATTTTGAAAGTCAAAATACATATTGTCACACAGTAGAGTTTGACATCTAATATTAAAGCGAAGCCGTTATACCATTAAAAGCAAAGCAGGAAGACCTCCAGTGTCTTTGATAAATATCAGTCCTTGTTGCACTCATCCTATGCAGCATCTTCCTTTATTTTACCCCGAGTGAGAGAAGCCTCTCAACAGTGCTCCACCCGAGATAGACAGACTGGCCTTTCCTTCACTTATCTTTGCCTCCAACACTCAAACTCTCCATCACGCTGACGCTCACGTCTCCAAGCAGAAGTCCTGGTTTCATGTCATGTTTCTTATCTTACAAGCGTCTGTTTGAGCTGATAGGCACAGTGTTCCTGATACCCAGCTGTGTGGTGATGGTTGTGTCAGTGTTTGTTAGCAGGAAGGGGTGTTTTGCCTACTTATGGCAGTTGTACTGCATGTATGTAAAGGCAGTGAGCTGGCTTAGTGCCATCTCTGATACACAGCTCAGCTGAGCATATAATCGATCGAACAGTAGAATAGAATATTGATGGCAAATTAATGGCTTATTTCCCTTTGGGAAGTCGTTGGCCATCTATTTTTGTACATCCTGTTGCTGATGAGTAGCCGTGACACCAACGCACCCTTCCTCAGTTCAACTTATTCCTGATGTTTTGCTGCTTACACTGCTGTGACCAGGAGCTCATGACGGTTAATGTTTCTGAAACGGAAATACCTTTCTAACGTTTGCTAAAATGTATGAGACTTTATGACTCTTGTACTACTGTTGTGCTACGTTAACTTAAGACAAGCACTTACATTTTTCAGTTGCTTGTCTTTGTGTCACCCCAACATTCCTCTCTCCTTGGAACAATGGTAACTCAAATTTAAAGGCTCGTAAAATGATATGACCTCATCAAACGCTCTGTCTTAGGGGAAGGGGATGAACTGTGTCACAGTGACTAAACAGTTGCATCATCAACACCGTTTAATCGCGCTTCCTTGCCTTTGTCTTTGTTTTGCCCCAGCCAGCGGCAGCGGGGGTGTAACTGGTGTTATGTAAAGGACAAGACTAAGAATAGTTTGAGCAGTGGCATGCATCTCTGTAGGTCAGTGCTCTGTCCACTAGCAGATATTTGTGCAGAGACCAGAATACTTGCCCCCC